CCGTTTTTCGGGGCTCCCCAGGCTTGTTCTCCACGCCGCTGCTGGCCGCGCTGCCCGAGAAGGTGAGGAAGTTCTTGGGGCAGCAGGCGCCGTTCCCCTCGCGCCTGGGCGACCCCGCCGAGTTCGCCCACCTGGTGCAGGCCCTGGCCGAGAACCCCATGATCAACGGCGAGGTGGTGAGGCTGGACGGGGCCCTGCGCATGCAGCCCTGAGAGCCGAGGGGACCCCCCACCACCCCCAGAATTTGGGGTGGGGGAGCGGTCACGGGTGGGGTTGGGGTGACACAGCAGGGACAGCCGGACGCTCTGCGGGGACGCTCCAGGAGCGGAACCAAGGACTGGGGGGACGCTGGAGGAGCGGGGACGCTCTCTCCCGAGTGGACGCGACCGTCCTGAGTGGACACGACCCCCGCCGCCCGTGGGGCCGCGCCGGGATTTGGGGACAAATCGCCGGGACCGTGGCCACGAGGCCACTCGGGAAGTTGGGAAACGCCACGAAGGGGACACAGCTCAGGGGTGGGGGGTTGATGCTGAGCTCCCCTGAGCGTGGGGACCCCCTTGAGCCCCTCCCGGGCGAGGGGACCCCCTTGATCCCCCCCATCCCCTCCGCCCACCCACCACGGCAATAAAACGTGTTCGCCCACGCGGGTCCCAGCGCTGCGCCGCCCCGCCTCCCGCCTCTCCCCATTGGCTCGTGCACCTGTCAATCCTCAGTGCGGCCGGACGTGATTGGCCGGCGGGGGGGTGGGAGGGAACAAAGCCCGCCCGCGCCGGGGCACGCGCGGGACTCGCCTCTGATTGGCTGAAGGCAAGGGGAGGGGAGTGGGGCGGGGCTTGTCGCACTCTCCGCGCGCCGATTGGTCGACGCGCCTGTCAATACACCGGGATGGAGATGGGCGGGCTGGGCGCTGATTGGCCAGGGAGGAACTTCCGGCGGAAGTGGCTCGTGAGGGGAGCGGGACCGGGAGCGGAGCCGGGAGCGGGAGACGCCACCGGGAGCGGGCGGCCGCAGCCATGAACATCCGGAACGCGCGGGTGGGCGGCCCGGGGAGGGCGGGGAGCCTCAGCCGCGGCTCGGCGAGCGGGATCCGCGCCCCGGGGAGGGACCTGACGGTGACACCGGGCACCGGGGAGGGACCTGACGGTGACACCGGGCACCGGGCGGGCTCTGAGGGGAGCACCGGGAGGGCTCTGAGGGGAGCACCGGCGGCAGCGGATCTCGGTGCCGCCTGGCGGCTCTGCGGTGGGTGCCGTGAACCGGAGGGGGCTCTGAGGGGTGGCGGGGGTCCCGGGGCCGGTTCCGCGCTGATTCCGCCGGTGCCGGTGCCGGTGCCGGTGCCGGTGGCGGGGCCGGTTCCTCCCGCAGCCCGAGGACCTGATGAACATGCAGCACTGCAACCTGCTCTGCCTGCCCGAGAACTACCAGATGAAATATTACTTCTACCACGGCCTCTCCTGGCCACAGGTGTGGCTCCGGTACACCGGGAAACCCTCCCGGGATACCGGGAACCGGGATTGAACCATGGGGAAACCGGGATTGAATCATGGGGGAACCGGGATTGAACCCCGGGAAAACCGGGATTGAATCATGGGGAAACCGGGATTGAACCCCGGGAAAAACGGGATTGAACCCCCGGGAAACCGGGATTGAACCCCGGGAAAAACGGGATTGAACCATGGGGAAACTGGGATTGAACCCCCGGGAAACCGGGATTGAACCCCGGGAAAAACGGGATTGAATTATGGGGAAACCGGGATTGAACCCCGGGAAAACCGGGATTGAACCCCCGGGAAACCGGGATTGAACCCCCGGGAAAACCGGGATTGAATTATGGGGAAACCGGGATTGAACCCCGGGAAAACCGGGATTGAACCCCCGGGAAAACCGGGATTGAACCCCGGGAAAAACGGGATTGAATCATGGGGAAACCGGGATTGAACCCCGGGAAAAACGAGATTGAACCCCGGGGAAACCGGGATTGAATCATGGGGAAACCGGGATTGAACCCCGGGAAAAACGGGATTGAATCATGGGGAAACCGGGATTGAACTCCGGGAAAACCGGGATTGAAACTCCGGGAAAACCAGGATTGAACCCCGGGAAAACCGGGATTGAATCATGGGGAAACCGGGATTGAACCCCGGGAAACCGGGATTGAACTCCGGGAAAACCGGGATTGAACCCCCGGGAAAACCGGGATTGAACCCCGGGAAAAACGGGATTGAACCATGGGGAAACCGGGATTGAACCCCGGGGACACCGGGACCCCCCAAATCTCACCTGGGACCCCCAAAACTCACCTGGACCCCCCAAATCTCACCTCGGACCCCCAAAACTCACCTGGGACCCCCCCAAATCTCACCTCGGACCCCCAAAACTCACCTGGACCCCCCAAATCTCACCTCGGACCCCCAAAACTCACCTGGACCCCCCAAATCTCACCTCGGACCCCCAAAACTCACCTGGACCCCCCAAATCTCACCTCGGACCCCCAAAACTCACCTGGGACCCCCCCAAATCTCACCTCGGACCCCCAAATTTTACCTGGACCCCCAAAAACTCACCTGGACCCCCCAAATCTCACCTGGGACCCCCAAAATCTCACCTCCCCCCCCCTCCAGCTCTCGTACATCGCCGAGGACGAGCACGGCAAGATCGTGGGCTACGTCCTGGCCAAGATGTGAGTTTTCGGGGGTCCCTGACCAATCCTGGCTCTGGGGGGGTCCCCTCAAAAAGATTTGAAGGATTTGGGGGGGGTCTCACCCCACCCTCACCCCTCCTTGCAGGGAGGAAGACCCCGACGACGTCCCCCACGGCCACATCACGTCCCTGGTGGGTCTGGGGGGCTCAGAGGAGTTTGGGGGGGCTCAGAGGGGTCTGGGGGGGCTCCTTGAGGGGTCTGGGGGGGCTCCTGGAGAGGCTTGGGGGGGCTCAGAGGGGTTTGGGGGGCACCTTGAGGGTCTTTTGGGGTCACATGAGGGTTTTGGGGGATCCATTGAAGGGTTTTGGGGGTCCCTGGGGATTTTTTGGGGTCCCTGGGGGGGGTTTTGGGGGGTCCCAGCCCGTTTTGGGGTCCCTGGGGGGTTTTTCGGGCGTCCCAGCCCGTTTTGGGGGGTCCCAGCCCATTTTGGGGTCCCTGGGGGGGGTTTTTTGGGGGGTCCCAGCCCGTTTTGGGGGCCCCCAGGCGGTGAAACGCTCGCACCGGCGCCTGGGGCTGGCGCAGAAGTTGATGGACCAGGCCTCGCGGGCCATGATCGAGAACTTCAACGCCAAATACGTCTCACTGCACGTCCGCAAGAGGTGGGACCCCAAAATCCCCCCAGATCACCCCAAAATAACCCTGAAATTTCCACCAAAATCCCCCCCAAATCCCCCCCCAAAATAACCCCCAAATTAACCCCAAAATAACCCCAAAATCCCCCAGATCACCCTAAAATAACCCTAAAATTTCCACCAAAATCACCCCCAAATCCCTGCAAAGAACCCCCAAATCCACCCCAAAAATAACCCCAGTCACCTCCAAAATA